TTCAGGGCGTATGCTCTGGCGAAAATTTGTATCCGTTCCTTCTATTTCCTCCCTGATCAGTTGTAAGAGCTGGTCGAACGATTTCACACTCATTCTTGTGTAGTTGAAAAACTTCTCGTCGTGTTTGCGTAAGTCGTCGTACAGCAGATGGAATGCACCTTTTGTGGAACGTTCCAAGAACATGGGATGTATCCAGTATCGTCGACTTCGCTTTTTCCCACGACGGACATGATAGAACAGTAGTGCTGCTATCTCTTCAACCTCCATTTAAATACTGATAAATGCTTGTCGCGCGTAGTCGCGCCAGTGGGTCCCTAGCCTTACTGCATTCCTTGCAAGTCTCAAGATTATACTGCACACGTGCGGTCACCGGTACTCAGATTTCAACAGGCTATTGCTTGTCTGGACACGTGCGATCGATCAGTAACACTCAGGGTCGAAGATGCATAGACCGTTTTTGATAAGGTTTGACTCGCCTGGGCACGCAGCATTTGCCAAGTTTGCTCAAGTTCTCACAGGTTTCAACAGGCATGGACGGCGTTGCACTAGCTTCGACTCGCCTGGACAGTCTTAAGTTCAGATCATCGGGATTGCTTTTGACAAGCTCTGGAGAGCTCACCGGCCAGCAGAATTACACGTGGTCAGTGATAAAGAGTAGCAGCTGGCACGCGCCTCAATAACTCTTAAGTTTATAATAAACTTTCCCAGAGAAACAGTCGAGTGGAGGCTTGCGAACTCACGTTATGATGACAAATCGAGCTGTCAGAATAACAGCTACCTCGTAACATGTATCAGGTATCACATCCCACACCTGCGCCTAGTGTTCTTCCCATCCCCTATTAAAACCTTTGCGGTCCGATGTCGGACTGAGTCCGCCACGTAATTTATGAATTTTTTTACGTGATCTGAGGCTTGCAAACAGTGTCAGCATATCATTCAAGCCTTTTTCTTTGCACTAATTCTATGCTAGTTTTCCTGGTACCTTATAATGGTGAAAGAATGCAGGAGAGAAAAGTCGTTTTATTCTGGCACGTGTCCAAGGAAGCCAGGATTCCACATCAAGTGTTTTGCCATACATCATATACTGAAGGAATACCATCGGGAGTGCAGCTGTCATATTTACTTAGAACAGAAGTATTTTATATCTGATAAAGTTATAAAGCAAATATCCCATCTTCCTAGTAGGAAACAATATTTTTTAAAAATTAATTTTGACCCATAGAGCAATCCACCACTGATATATCCACATTCGTTCGTATTCTTATCAAGAATTCATCGTGTAGACTTCGCGTTCTATTTCACTTTCCTGGTGATGAACTTGGTCATGATCTTTCGAAAACAATCAGCACGACAGGAAGCTTAGCTATGAGATTATGAAATCCAGTGCTCATACATCGTATATCTTCATGCAGTAAGAGTTTTTTAGACGTCGCCAAAGCCATTGATATCGACTTGGACTTGCTTTATTCTTCACCGAACGACAGAAAGCAGAAAGGCACCAGTCAAAGCGGCCGGATTCCGAGATCAAATATTTTGATATTTTCGCGTGAGTAGCTGCACTGGCCAGTAAGGCGCATGCGCAAGAGAGCTCTGACCGTACAGTACACGGAAGGTGCATGCGCAGGAAGGCCATGTGCTTCTCTCACACAACAAGCGATTCCCTTATGTCATATGACACCCCATGCAGCTTATGCAGCTCGCACTGCTCGTTTCTTATCGCTCACGTAGGACTGCGCATCTCACTAGCGACAGCGGTGCAGTCCGTGCAAAATATTTCACACGGTCAGTATTCAAACAAAAGGAACTGTGATCCTCTCAGAACATATTTTCACCATATTTAGCAAAGTTTCATCCGTTTTACGCAAGTTATAAAAGAAAATCAAATCAGTTCATAATAGTAGTTGAATTTATACAGCTCTTCTTCTTCTTCTTCTTCTTCTTCTTCTTCTTCTTCTTCTTCTTCTTCTTCTTCTTCTTCTTCTTCTTCTTCTTCTTCTTCTTCTTCTTCTTCTTCTTCTTCTTCTTCATCGTCTATGGTCAATCTTGACCGTCGTGACCCAAATGAATCGTGATTCTTCTCCAGCCCTCGTGGTCCTGTGCTAGGCGGACTGCGTTGGCGATCGGCTTATTTGTCAATTGTGCGACCTGATCTATCCATCTAGAAGGGTAACGTCCGCGGCTTCTTTTTCCCACGATTTTCCCCAGGATGACGCGTCACGTCGGACAACGTGCCCAAAGAACTGTAGTGCCCGTTTTGCGCAGATTTCACTAAGTCTTGCGCCCGGCTTCACCTCTTTGTCGTGTATTTTCTGTCCCCTCAGCACTCCTTACCCTGTGTTACAGCTATAAAACGGCCGTAAAGAAGAGATTCGTGGATTGTTTCTTGGACAGTTGAATATCGTGACGCGGTGGTTGTTTTTACTGAAGCCGCTGAATGAAGATGAAGGTAACATCGTCTTTCACCGTTACGACAATGTGTGCACCTGCAAACACGAACTGTTACTAACAACACAAGAATTTCTCATTAACATCATCTTGAAATTCATATTTTTTGTCCAACAACGGCATCGATTCGCATTATGTCCAACTGTTTTAAAAGCGTTGTATTCATACATACGCAAAACAGGCTAGTTTCAAGAAAATCTGAATTTCAGGAAGCTGAATAGGCCTACACACAATTAAAATAAATTCTAAAAGATCATAAGATTGCTTCAGAATATTGTAACATACAGTTGACGAACAATTCACACCCATGCCACGAGATCAAGAACGCGTGATGCTTTTCCTCGATATAATTTCCACACCCAATCGCATATTGCTAAGCATAACATAAATTAATGACTATTCATTTATATTGTCTTTTGCTTCGCGTCGTATTTTAAATACACAGTGAAATGTGTGTGGTACTCAAATTTTAATTAAAATTTTAACACCACAGTTCCCTTGAGCGTTTCAGGTAAAATCAAACGAATTTGAGATGATTCAATTGTAAATAAGTAGGCTTAGGCCTACAATATGAGCTGGGCAAATGGTCGTTGAAGGCCATATATGATTATAATTTTTATTATTATTATTATTATTATTATTATTTATTTGACTGCAAATGGGTTTTTACCCGGTGGCAGTGGTCCTACAATAAGACACAACAAAACATAAGACAACAAAAACAATAAGAAACAACAGAACAATGAGACAGAACAAAACAATAAGACACAAAAATCATAAGACAACAAAAACAATAAGAAACAAGAGAACAATGAAACAGAACAAAACAATAACACAAAAAACATAAGACAACACAAACAATAACAATAAGAAACAACAGAACAATGAGACACAACAAAACAGTAAGACAAAAAGACATAAGACACAACAAAACAATAAGACAACAAAACAATGAGACACAAAAAACATAAGGCACAACAAGAACAATAAGACACAACAAAGCAATGAGACACAACACTACAGTAAGACAAAAAGACATGACACAACAAAAACAATGAGACACAAAAAGCATAAGGCACAACAAGAACAATAAGACACAACAAACAACACACCACACTCAAAATAAAACAACTCATAATATTACAAAACCGTATAACCTAAAGTACATAACTTAAAAATTAATACCAACTAGACATAAGTCAGTAACAGTAATGAATCACACGTTTCATCAGGACCTTCTCTTCACTTCACTACACTTATGAAGTCTTCCCATCCTCACCCCAATTTACACCCCTTCACTGCACCCACCCACGTATTCCCTTTACTTCACCTCATTTATCACTTTCCTAACCTTCTTCCTAAACGTACTTGGTTTACAGGAGAGAGTCCCTAAAACCTCAGCAGGTAGCTGGTTCCAGAGTTGGATGGTCCTATTTACAAAGGAATATTTTCCGATATCTGTTCTTTGTTTTCTGCTCCTAACTTTCCGAATATGATCGACTCTGCTCAGGTAGTATGGCCTTTGCAATCTGTCACTAGCCTTTGCAATCTCAGATATAAGAAACAGATGCTTATGTAAAACAAGAGTTGGTTTATGTATTTATTTGTATGTTTTAAACTATTTTATATATAACAGGCTATGAATTTAATACTGACAATCCGCAAAGCTCTATTAAACGCTGTAAATGCAGAGAACAATAAGTGAACTTAATTTTTGTGTCTCGTTACTAGTATAAGCTTTGGCTAATAAATTCTCCAGAAACGTCATATAACTTGGAATGACAGTAAGGAATGAAAAATACATTCACTGGAAAATTACATAGACGCAGATTAAATTCAGGAAATTCTTCCGACATTCTGTTCAGAATCGTTTTCCTGCCAGATTGCGTCATAAAAGTGTAAAAACTAAAATTTTATCAGTTGTTTTGTATGGGTAAGAAGCGTGGTTTCTGACGTTAACGGAAGAGCATAGACTGAGGATGTTTAAGAAAGGGCACCGAAGAGAATATTTTGTCCTAAGAGGGATGAAATGACAGGAAGCCGGAGTTAGTTTCAAATATTAGGGCGATAAAATGAAGAGGATGAGGTGGACGGTGCATGCAGAGCGCGTGGGTGAAGTGAGAAATGCGTCCTTCTCATTCTAAATATGTCTTTACTAGCTCTCAGCTACTAGCTTCTAAAGAAGGAATCTACTGCATGGAGTTGTATTCTAGTGCGAAGAGCATATACAAAAATTTTGGTTGTTTTTGTTTTTTTTAGAAAAAAAACTGATATTCCTCTCATCACGTGTGGTCTGATCGAATCGTAGCATATGAAGTTAAAGAAGAGTTGTGGTGCATTATGTAACACAACTTTGCATCTTGGGGAAAAAAAAGATAAATAAGCGAAAAAAGATGTGGTCTGACTTTATTGGTCGGGCTACTACACAGCTCCCACTCCCATGCGCGATCCCACTACTGCTCCACACGGGGACTTCTGGCTGCTGAGTTTCCCCTCTGGCCCGGTCCGCCCCTCCTTAGCCAACCTGGCCACCCCAAGCTCCCCCAGAGTGCCCATATTGATGCCCAGCTTAGTGCGGACGCCCAGTCAACGTGGGACACAGTGCACCAGAACTCCCGACCTCAAATCATCCTCAACACCTAGCCTCCAAGTAGCTGGATTACAGGAGTACGCCACCACTCCCAGCGACAAAACAACGATTTAAATCTATATGTTATGATGTTCACGCGCGAAGTTTGTGACGGTGTCTAAGAGATGGCGCTAGCTGATGTTTCCCGCTATTAACGATTCGGTACGCTTGAACGCAATGTAGAAATGGCCAGAGATCGAATTGATTTGACGACGTTATAATTATCTTCACATTCATGGAATGAATTCAACCTTATTCAGCAACATAATTTCGTGAATGCGATTATCGTGTTTGTGATTTGTTTCCACCACATGGTAATAATGTATCACTTCTACAGTGTCATCTGTTACCAATTGAAATGAACAATTCGTAATTAACAGTATGCCTAGCGGGTACGTGATCGATTCTTTTCCTTGGTGCATTGAGGAACGTGATCTGAAATGGCGGGAACTAAAAGATACGCGGCTGGAGTGTTTTCTTGAAAAATGAATCTGTCATCAATATATTACACGTTTTTCAAAACATTTCCGATGAAAATATTCTGAAGAAACAAAAACAACATCCGAAAATTACCCTTAAGTAGCTTCTGTTAATACTGTTAGTGGCTGTTAAAGAGAGGGTTATTCGAAGCACAGAAACATGAGAAATGCATGAAGATTTTGATTGGGAAACATAAAAGGGACTGACTACTCGGATTAACTAAGATTAGATAAAGTATTAACACAAGAATGCGGGCTTTTGTGAAGAAGACTACGAATATTCAGATTCCATAAAATTTGGGGATGTCTTGACCTTCTCAGCGAGTGGTAGGTTTTGAAGGAAGACCCTTTGTCATGAAGCTAGAAAGGTCTGTATTTTTGCAGCCGTTGTTGAAGACATTAAATAATTTATGCACGTTTTATTCAGTGTTCCTCAGTGTAGAAGATATCTGCCTTCCGTTATGACATAATTTTCGGTATGGAGAGTGCTCCAAGACTCTGTATTTCGCATTCAGTATTACAGTGAAACTTGCGTAGAATGGAATACCAAAATATATAATTTTTTATTCATTTCAGATATCCGCTTAGTAAGGTCATAGGTATTTACTTTGAAAAAAATAACATTACACAGTACATATCTAATGTATTTTTGGTAAGAATAAGAATAATGCGCCATACACTACACAGACACTGACCAGCATATATTTTCAGTTTTTGCTTTTGTTTATTTAGTTCCTTCATACCTTCTCCTTTATTGTAACGTAGTCCAGTAGCCTAGAAAACATGTACTGGTATATTGTACGTACCGAAGGTGTTCCAGAAAAAGTAAATTCAGTTCTTCATCATTTTAAATGTTTCTGGTTTACAGTGTCTCCATGGATGATCTTTTCAGGCCTCTGCTAACTGTGGGCAAGTCTAGAATCTCCTGTTCAGATTGAGGCAAGCACAGGGCAGATTCCATTACCCCAACCAAAACGGTGATTAATAAGAGGGGCCTTACAGTTTGATGAGTGCTATGAACCACAATAAGGGGCCTGGAATTCTTCATTTTCTCTAAGATTTATTTTTGGAAAATGTGAAGACTTCACTTCGTGAGCAGAATCTGAGAAATGTGGATGAATGAAAATCCTGTTAATCCCTTCATAAATTAGAAGTATTGACCTAAAGAAAACATGAAGATTTCTGTCTTCTGGGTTGTTGCGCTGTGTAGTCTGGTTAATGTCAACCAACGTTTCAGAGGTCATACTGCCTCCATCATCAGGCCGATGAGTATGAAGATTTCTGTCTTCTGGGTTGTTGCGCTGTGTAGTCTGGTCGATGTTTACCAACGTTTCAGAGGTCATACTGCCTCCGTCATCAGGGCGATGAATATGAAGTTTTCTGTCTTCTGGGTTGTTGCGCTGTGTAGTCTGGTCAATGTCAACCAACGTTTCAGAGGACAATCTGTGTGTCATCACCCGATAGCAGATGTAGGACACACCACACATCACAAAATTGAAAATGTACATCTGACTATAGACATGCAGAACATTACGAAGACTGAAAAATCTACAAAACAAATCAATAAATGGTTGCATTGAAATATATAATAGTTTTAAAGATATAAATGACGATAAAAACCTGAAGATGATGCAATAATAGCATCGAAACATGTCGTTAATAATAAGCGCCGAATAAATGTAACATCGTAATACGATGAAAAGCGCTATAATTTTAACAACAACATTTTAAATTAAGTTTGTGTATAGACTGGAATAATAAATACATACTTAGTTCAACACAAACATGACGCATCTAAGCTACAAAGCTAGAAATTCCTTCTTCAAATTGTAAAGAGTTTTGTTCCCTTGTAATAATATTCCTTCTGTTTGTCTCTCCCATGTTGATTATTCCTTAATACAAGCTGATATGCTTCGTTTAGCCTATTACGAAGTGTATTCAAATGTTCTTCAATTTGGTTTTCGTTTCCAGGAAAGTCTTCAATATGAGCCCTGGAAGACAAATCATCTACCGAAGGAAGGAGCATTTCTCTCCCATAAAGAAGGTAATAAGGACTGTATTTAGTAGTTGAATGAGGTACCGCTCTATGCACCATCAACGCATAGTTGACAAATTCGTCCCAATTATTTCCATATTTATTAACGTAATGACTAGTATATTGATTAAGTCCCAAATGAAATTTTTCAATTTTGCCCTGCATCTTAGGATTGAATGTGGTCGAAGTTAATCTTTTAATTTGCAATAACTTGCACATTTCTTTAAATAACTCTGACAAGAGATTTGTTCCTCTGTCCGAACTAAGGACTCTTGGACATCTGTGTCTGCTAAACATGCTGACAAGTAAAGCGCGAGCTACCTTCTACACGTCTTGCTTGGGTATTGTGACGGCTTCCGGAAATTGTGTGAAATGGTCAATGAAGGTAAGAAGATACTTATTCCCTCTTTCACTGATTGGGTAGGGTCCACAAATATCTATGGAAGTGACTTCAAATGGAAAATGAGTTTCTGGAAGTTCACCTAAAGGTGAGGGAATAATTTGTCCTCCTTTAAGTTGAGCACAAGAATGACATTTGTTTACTTATTCCTCCACGTCTTTATTTAATGTGGGACAAAAGTAATTTAGTTTAATTACATCTTGAGTTCTGGTAATGCCCTGGTATCATGATGATGCTCAATAACTAACTAATTAGATGGCTTACAGAACCCGAAGGTTCATCACCGAATTAACCAAAGCCCTCCACCGGATCCTGTCCTGGGCCAGCAAAATAGTCTCCTTCAACTCCTTTCTCCCATAGATCCCGCCTGACATTATCCTCCCATCTACGTCTAGGTCTCCCCAGCGATCTCTTCCCCTCAGGCT